CGCATACCGCCTCGCGTGGACGACGTTGTCCGCAGTCTGTATCCACCGTTGGACGCCAGGCTGTTGGAAGCCAGAGTGGCAGCTCTCGTATTGGCTGTGACTCACTTGGCATTGGTGACCAAGCACGGCGTGCCGAAGAATCAAGCCAGGAAACTGGCGTTTATCGATCAGGCCTTGAACGACATGGACACGCACCTATTGGTGTTGAGAAACGCAGCGCTGGCGCAGGAAGTAGCTTGCTCCATTCCGGCCTCCACGCCAGTCTGAGAGTACGTCGATCAATCTCTCTCTCTCTCTCTTTTTCGAATCTCTGTCTCGCACAGTATTTGTAATCTTCAGGTTATCTCTACCTTTTTACGGCTTTGGGTTCATTTAAACAACGCTGTAACGGCAGCAACAAAAATTGTATATAATAAACACACATAATTGCTAGATTTGCAAATATAGTATACGCGTTAATGATATACTTTGAGTGGCAAATACGCAGATATAGGGCATCGCTGATCTCAAAGCACAAAACGAACAAAACTTCAGGGCTGCTGATGAAAAAAATCGTCAGTGTTATGTCAATTATTGTAAAAAAAAATACACATATTAGATTCGCACGGCACATGTCGGCAAAAAGTATCGTGAGGGATATATTTCTATAATAATAGCTTTAAAATACGATAAAATTCGCCAAAAATCGGCATTCTGCAATACACAAGATATATACGTCTTCCATGTTATATTATCATAGTTATTTATATACGTACACAGATAAAAATGTATTTTGGAACTATGTAATCGAACGTACCTGCATATGTTTGTACACGTTACAATATTTTATACTCTTGACAGAATCAAATTATTTTGTAGATTAAGAGAAATTTGTAATAAAGTTGATCATAAAAGAGAAATCACTTATTTCCTTCGTCCGCATATTTCAATTTCCTCTCAAGATACTTATCTCTTAATTCGCTCCGTGCTGATTTATTTGAATTTAATGTCGCATTGCTGCAACAGTATCTAAATTGCTACTGTGACGAGTAATCGCGTCACAACCGTTTGCGAGTCAAGAGAAGAATCGATTTCTGCTTAATACATCAATAAATTAAATAATCCGACCAATCACTGATATGCTAAAAAGCGGCACTCAGTGATAATTAGCATATTACAAATCTCAAAAAAGAATTCCTATAAATGACGGCATAGTGCATTAGAAAGAGAAAAAACGTGGTGGTTTGTGATCGGAACGATACTCCCATTATTTGCCTCGATTCGCAAAGTCTTTCTGTCTCTTTTGATTGTCGGACAGAACTTTATCTTTCAGGTGTTCCTTGTAATCCAAAATGTTGCCACTCCACTTTGTAACCGCTCCGTTCTCGCACACCCAGATTTCTTCGGCAACCTGAACATCACACACACAGGAAACAAATTAGTTTATGATTTTTTTCTCTTAAAATAGAGCTACGTAAAAAAATGTACGTACTTGATTAATCAATCTGAAGTCGTGCGATACTAGTACCATGCCGCCATCGAAGTCGTTAATAGCGTCAGCGAGCGCGTCGATCGTTTCCATGTCCAAGTGATTGGTAGGTTCGTCGAGCAGCAACAGATGAGGCACTTGCCAAGCCAACCAGGCGAATACAACTCGGCAACGTTGACCATCGGACAATTGACGAATAGGGCAGACCTGAATAAAACACAAATTATGACATATTTAAAATGCTCGAAGCCCTCGAATCTCACTGTTCGATAAATTATATAACTTTTGACTTTTATACCTGTTGACGCCCAGTGAGACCATAGCGACCAATGATCTTCCGCATTTCTTCGCGTTCTTTGACTTCGGGAAAAGCTTTCATCATGTAATCGAGAGGCGACATATCCAAATCCAGCAACTCATGTAAGTGCTGATGATATCTGCCGATTCGAAGATGACTGTTTTTGCGAATCATACCGCTTGACGGCACCAACTGCAACACGATATTACTTTGTCAAGAAAAAATACTGAATGCCACATTTATTAATATGGAATATGTACTTGCAACTTACATCACCATACAACAGCTTGAGCAGCGTACTTTTTCCCGCACCGTTTGGTCCAACCAACGCGATTCTAGTATCCAAATCGATTCCAAATTCCAGATTCTTATAGATCCAAGGCGCATCCTCGTTGTAGCGAAAACTGACATTCTGCACCATGATAACCGGCGGCGGAATGGTTCCGCATGAAGGAAAATAAAAGTTCAGCACTTTGTCATTGACGACCTTCTCCGTCAGGCCTTGCGCTACCATTTTCGCTAGAGTCTTCTCCTTCGATTGAGCCTGCCTGGCTAACTTCGCCGAACCGTGACCGAATCGCGCGATGTAATTTTTCATATGCGCGATTTGATCTTGTTCCCAATTATACTGTTTCACCTGATTTTCGAGTAACTCCATTCTGAAAAAAATTGATACGATTAGTATCGATATAAAGTAAAATTTCTTAATTTTATTTTTTAGCAGCTTACCTTGTTTTCACAAACGCCTCGTAATTACCGGTGTAATATTTCAATTGCTTCTTATTGACGTGAATAATATTGGTGCAAATACCGTTGAGGAAATCTTGAGAATGGGAGATTATAACAAGAATTCGTTTATAAGTTTTAAGTTCTTCCTCTAACCATACACAAGCATCCAAATCGAGATGATTGGTTGGCTCGTCGAGTAACAATAAATGTGGTTTTACGTACAGTGCTCTATAAAGGAATCATAGAGGAATGTTTGATATCATGTAATGACATATGGGATTTTAAGAATTTCTTATAGATCTTTTAAGTCTTCGCATACCTAGCGAGAGCTATGCGCATTCTCCAACCTCCTGAGAAGTCTTTGGTGGGAGTTTTTTGCATTTTTGCAGTAAAACCTAAACCATGCAAAATATGGGCAGCACGAGCTTCCGCCGTGTCGGCAGCCATGTCCTCCAATCTCTCATACACATCCATGAGTTGTTCCTATAAAGCAAATAAAAATTTTTTAATAAAAGTTTTTTGATGGACAAAACATGTCGATTTGCAATTTGACATACCTGAGCATCTTCTTCTTCGCAATCGATTAATTCGTCGGCAAGTTTCTCTAATCGCACACGCTCCTCATCAACCTCCATCACACACTCCAGAGCAGTTTTATTGCTCGCAGGCATCTCTCTAGTCAAGTGAAAAATATCTATTTGATCTGGAATTGCAACCTCACGATTTCCTAGCACTGCCAACAATGTGGACTTCCCAGAACCATTTAGACCTAATAAACCGTAACGTCTACCGCAATTCAACTCCAACATGGTGTCTTGCAGCAGTTCACAGCCATGGAAAGTAATAGAAAAATTAGATATCTTTATATCTCGGCTGCGCGGATGCGAAGCCAATGATCCGGTGCACGCACGTGCTTCCGCATTTAGTCTGGCGTCTGCCTCCAATTTCAGACATAATGCCTCTGCAAAAATATAAATAATATATATATTGACAATTATCTTTGATGAAGTAAACATATTTATAAAAGTAAGATAATTACAAATAATTTAAGAAAAACATAGATATATATATCTCTATACATAGAATTATATTAATAAAATAATATACGCACAATAATTAAATAATATATATCAATTATTATAATGTTTGTTGTAACAAATATTTCAATTAAAAGTATTGCAATATTCTTATGATATCAATATACAAGATTTACAAAAGTTATAGAACATGGTTATTCAATATGCTACGTTTATTCAATGAAATGATTATAAATGTTTTAATTTTAATCCATAGATTCTTTTATATGTGAATTTTTAGTATAACTAATTTTAAAATCATCAGAACAATAAATGATCCTTTTTCAAATATAAAGTCTGCTTATTCATAAATTGAAGCAATAAAAAATGGAAGCAATAAAAAATGAAATGAAAATGAAGTTACAAAATGGCAAACAAATTTTTCTGTCACTTTGTCCTCAATTAATCAATATCAAAAATGCTGCAATATCAAAATAAAAGTATGTTTTTAAAAAAACACAAAAAATAACATGGAATTTTTTAATTTCTCAAACCTCTTTCCCAAACCATTACATTCAAATTAAGAATTCAAATAATAAAAAATTCATGCAAATATAAATACACATAAGTCTTACAAAGCAGGAATAATGGCACACTTTGTCTATATACGTATATACCTTCTGTACTAATAGCTGTGCCATTGGTTCCATTCTGCAGATCCCCCGTCGGGCTCTGCTCCTTGCCGTCTTCGGCCGTCTTCGTCTGATTCTGCGGTTTCTTGCCGGATTGTCTCGCCTTCGCGGCCTCCTTCTTTTTTTGCTGCTGCTTCTTCTTAGCGTCGGACGGCATTGTCTCTTACCTGGAAATTTCACCGGCCGTTAACAGCTTTCGGGCGGAAGTGTCCGGTGACGGTTTCACGAGCGGTCGTGGCGTTTTCGCGCGTTATGTAAGATATAGGTTAGAAGCAGAGAAATTACGCGCGGACATGTGCACGCCGAAAGAGGAAAGGCAAATGCGGAGCGAACACACGAAAACGCATCGCCACACGTCGCATCGTCGTCACGACGCGAACGAGCGGTGTGTCGTCGCGTGAGAGGATTCGCGGGACTCACTTCGGCAAACAAAAGAAACTCGACATCCACTGTGGACACTCGTGATAACGCGGCGTGTTATCGAAAGAAGCGTGTCTGCTGTGCGATTTGTCTCGATGATCTTACGGTCGCGCGAAGATTCGCTAATATTACCTGATTGTGCGCCAAAAAGCGGACGACTTCGTATGGCACGCGTACACACACGTGCATCGGATGATAGAGGCAAACCGTCAAAACCGAGCTTACTACATCGGCGTACAGATGATGCTGAGCGTATTGAATACTGGAGGATGTCGCTTTCGTTTAAGAACGCGGGAAATATAAACCTGCGGATTTGATATTGCTGAAACTTGTAATCTACAAAGTAATTTTTTTCAATAATAACACAAAATGCACACTGTACATTATCTATTACAAAAACTATATATCAATGATATGTATTTTCTCTGTGTGTGTGTATTCCAAGTCTTCAAATGCTTTGCATTGTATAAAATTATATGTAGATTTGTAGCTGGAATGAAAAAATGTAATTAATAATAAAAAAATTGTAATTAAAAAGAGAAAAAAAAGATATTACATAAATGTAATAAATTT